ATGTACGTATTTTTCTGGGTTTCAAGAATTTTGCAGAATTAAGCACAGACTATCTGCCAGGCATTAGGCCAGGTGTGGTGAGATAGTTCAGAGTTTCATTAGATTCACAAAGGTCCTTGGTTTTCATCAGACTCTTAATTTTAAAGAGGTTAATAAACCAGAGCATCTAAGCACAGATTGCCACCGATCTCACTGTCTGAGTCCCTCTTCAGCTCAAGCCAGGTGCTGAGCTGGGTCTAGGCTTTGCTTCACCTCATCCTTATCTCCTGGAAACAACTAGTCTCTACCTCCTTGCTTACAGAGAGTTCCAGAAACAAGCCTGTCTACCCACTGTGGCTCTATCCAGTTTCCTCACCACAGAAAGATGGGCCAAAAACAGAAAAAAAGAAGGTACAAATGTCACCAAGTCCAAACTCATTCTGCTCACTGCACAAAAGCCAGTAAATTAGGAGACAGGGTCTTGGGGCAATGAACAGTTACTTTATTTAGAAAGCCATTCAGAAAGCTGGCAGACCAAGAAGATGGCAGATTAAGGTCCTGGAGAATCATCTTCCCCAAGTCAGAATTCAGGCTCCTTTCCTACTTGCTTGGTTGTTGCAAACTTCTTGACATAAGAATTCTTTGTTCTTGGAATCCTGTGTTCTTGCAGCTGTCCACGTAGGTCAGATCATGGTGCCCCTGTAAACTTCCAACAAAAGAAATGTTATTTTGTATTCTGCAACTTGTTATCTTTATGTGAATGGAAATGTGTTAATGTCCTTAAAAGTCAGAGCCTTGGGAACAGGCTCTCTTCTATATTTCAGGCTATTGGCAGCATTGTTCCACAAAAGGTGCAGAGCTGGCAAGACTGAGCCTAGAAAACAGAGCACAGGGTTAAAGTCAAAGGAACAGATCTCATATGGAGTTGGGTTTGTTCTTTTTTATCACACAAACAGCCCCCCTGGCCTTTCCATCCCTGACGTGCAAAATCAGGACGTGGTTTTTCCTGCAGTCATTCACCCGCTTACCCCTGTGAAACGCAGTACATTATACTGCCAGGCTCGTTGGCTTTGGGAAGTTCTGCAACTTTTTTGTTTACTAAGCATTTGGAGCACTTTGGAAACAGTTGTTTTCAGCTAGCAAATTGTCTTCTGAGAAAACTGAAAGTTTGAAAAAGGTTTTAAAGCTTACTCAGAAACTGAAGAAATTTAAAGACTAAAAATATTTAAAGGATGTATCTTTCATGAGCACATATGCTAATGTTATATAGGTCCTGCTGACTTACCTACAATGTAACTTTCTATTTATAAAAAGGAAAATGAAAAATTGTATAATCAAGTGAAAGATCTCCATGAACAAGAAAAATGAAGAGTGAACGTTCAAGGAAAATCAGAGCTTATTCAGCAAATCAGCATCCTGAAAGTAAGTCCTTTTTAAATTCTCAAAATCAAATCGATTCTTTCTAAGCATTTTATTGTTATATTAACAATACCTTTAGTTATACTTGGAAATTTTAAAAATTTTACATTGATTTTCAGTTTTGTAACTTTCATGTTTTTAGTTTTCAGTGGATTTTCTTTTGGCGTTAGACAACTAATACATACTTCAGTATTTTCAGCATATTCATATTTGAATTTGACATCAGTTTTAGGAAATTGAACAGCCCTCTTGATCCATCATTAAGCCTGGGACACTTATGTAATGCATCTCAGTAATGATGCTTTTAGTAATAATAGTAAAATAAATATACAGTATCATTTACTGTCTTAGGTCGGGTTCCGAACAAGTAGAGCCTGAGCTGGGGGTCCTTGTGGAGGTGATTTCCTGCAGGATAACTCTCAGGAGAAGGGGAGCAAGAGATGCAAGGTGGGGGTGGGCAGGGGGAGGGAGGGCAAGTGAGACCGTGGTCTCAGCTAGAGGCTGGTGTCATTCTTCCCTCACCAGAAAGCTCAGGAGAGCAGACTGCACCCCAGAGTTGGTCCCCAAATGAGGCAAGTGGGGGAAAGCCATTTATACCCCCCAGCCAGTCAGTCCCTGGCTGAAGTGTGCTCTAGGAAGTGGGTGGGGGTATCTCTAGGCCGGGGGGCAGGGGCTGCCATTTGGTGACGATGTTTCTCCAGAGGAGGGGAGCCTCAGTGGTGAGAACCAGCACTCACTGTGGCGGGCTGGCAGAGCTCACACTGTAAGGGATTTTGGATGTTACTACACCCACTTTTAACATGTTAAGTGAAGGAGCTGTACCAACAGCGGTGGGCAAGCTAGGGTCCTGCCTTCTTTTAAGAAGTGACTAACCATTTCACCAAAACATGCAAATAGGACTGCTGTCAGAAGAAACTTCTTTGGCTGTGAATGTCATGTATGTTACACATATTCACATACTTCTTCCATTTTTCTGTAAGATAACTTAGGGCATTGAGGCAGGGCTGCTGTTAGATCACACTGATCTTTCATGCAAAATAGAATAAGACACACATTGTACAGACAAAGCTAGAAAGTACACAGGTTGGCAAGTGAGGACACTTTTGAGTAAGTAGGGGGGAAAAAATCTCCTTTCCCTAGGCCAAGGCTAATCTGCCTAGTTCTGAAGCATGACGATTTACATCTGCTTTCTTCCCAAATGCTTCAGTAAAGTGTTTCAAAATTTCACATCTTATATTGTCTGTTTTTTAAAAGAGATCTATTCTAGGGTCCAAAACTGGAGCTCTAAATCATTTTCACAATGAAATAAATGATTTCTTTAGTACATTGGGGTTAGATGATCATATATGGAGTCCTAATGTCCTTTTATAATGTCTCTGGAAAAACAGAAAAATTGATTCTAAGGTTCAGGTAGTGGACTGTATTTGGTTGGTTTGTTTCCATGTGTCTGACTGGCAATGTGTGCTTCTCAGAAGGGAGTCTAGAATGACATGACAGGGGGCACAGACCCCGCAGGAAAATGCAGCAAATCTTTGTGGGATATTGATTTGTTTTTTCCTCTGAGAATTGGCAGGAAGTATTTTTACATTCCTAATAAGCCAACACTCTGAGGGCTTGCGTTCTTTTAGATCCCACATCAGCATTTCCCTTAGAGTGTACTCCTCACTTAGGTTTTGCTCTTTAGAGAAAATAAACTTTTTATCTTCAGTGACACAGAGTTCCACTGTTAGTTTTGAATTTTTAAGAACTGAGTATTTTGTATTGAAAGGAGTAAGGACCAGAGTGGTGGACGATCAGGTCAAAGAGGCGGCCAGAGGCCCCTGAGTGTGTCTCACAGTAAAATCTTGAAGAACCTCAGTAACTCTCCTGAAATGACATCAACAGAAGGTCACACAGAAGATTCAACAATGAAATGATGAAGCCAAAACCCATGATAATACAGGGCTTTATGGATGGATTTATTTTCTTGGTAAGGCTGGATTTAAGGTAGTGTGATACAAAACTTCTGACAATTTTTATTTTAAAACTGAACCGTACCAAGTGTCGTGCCATGAATCTGAGAATTCCTTCAGCAGTTCTGAGTTGAGTCCCATGTTCATTTACTGAGCAACTGCCCTCTGCTTAGTGCCGTCAGGTAACCAGGTGGTGACATCAGTCTCGGTCCCCACAGAGCGTGCAGCTTGTTAAAGAGAAAAGGCCTGCACACAGGTCAGGGTCATGGAAAACAAAGCACTGAGTGCTGTGCTGGAGGGACATGGAAGGTTCGTGGGGGGTGGGGAGAGGTTATCGGGAAGAGCTGCACTTGAACTCAGTCTTGAAGGATAAGTGTGACTCTGTGAAGCAGAGGAATGAGGATATTGAGAGTTGTGTGAAATGTTGGGCCAAGCCTTTTTCTTCCCTGCATTTGTGACACAAAGATGAGCAAAATCAAGTTTTGCTTTCAAGTAAATATATACAGTGTCAGGTGCTGATGAATGTTTTGAGAAGAAAATAAAGCAGCACACCTGGGGGCCAGGTTGGGGGCTGCCATTTTAGAAAGAGGGATCAGGGAAGGCCTTCCTGGGGCCGCACCTGAGCAGAAGTCCTGAGCCAGTGCAGGAGTGAGACACCCGGCTCTCGGGGGCAGAGCTGCAGGCAGGGGAAGCAGTGTGCTCCTGGGGTAGGAGTGTGCTGAGCATGTTCCCAGCCAGCCAGGAGGTCTCTGCAGCCGGAGTGGAGCAGGAGGGGGAAGATTTGTGGGACATGCGATAGAGGAGCAGGCAACACTGGGTTGTGCGACACTGAAGGTCATGGTAATAAGGACTTCAGATTTACCCTAACACAGGGGAGCCACCAGAGAGTTTCAGATGAAGGAGTGATATTAATGGACTCTTCAAAACAATTCACCTCTTCTTGTGTGGAGGGTGGACCACAGGTGCTGGGAGTGGAAGAGGCGGGCTAGTTAGGGGGTCGTCGTCATCCGGGAGCAGTGAGAGCAGCGGTGGGGAGGGCCCAGCGGCTGTGCTGGGCACATGCTCAGAGCTGGCTCCGGCGGGCTCCGGGAAGCTCGTCATCATTTGGAGGGGGCGGGGTAAAATCAGAGCTGAAATTTAGGAAAGATGACCAACAGCAGAAAAGGATGAATTAGGTAAAAGAGAGCCTATATCGCAATCTGTCGTGATTAGGAGTAAGTTGCTTTTGTATTTCTAGGAATATCAAGAGAGAGAAAACAGGTTTATTGGAAGACCTCAAAAGACTGAAGCAAGACAAGCAAGCTCTTGAAGCAGACTTGGGAAAAACGAAGAGAGAGAGAGACCAAGCCAGAGAGCAGGTGCGCGCACCAAACGGAGCACACCGAGCTGGGATGAGTATTTTATACTCGTAACTGTGCTGAACGTAAGTGTAAGTTATAGCAACTAATATAAGCAAAATGCTATTCCTAGAAGTATATTGTAATTTTAGAAACTTTTGAAAATTAGTTATTAAGAGGTATGTACATTTGATTGGTTTCAGCATCAATAATTGCAAGAGTTGAAGAAACTCAAAAATTATTTTGAATTCGTGGCATTGTGTGCGCAGCTGTTTGCAGTCCTCCCAGCTGGACCGCGACCTTCCAGGGCCGGACTCCCTTTTTATCCCTGGGCCTGAAACATAAGCTCTCAAGTGTTTGACAAGTGAATAGACAACACCGTGCTGTGTTGGTAGAAGACACGAGGGTGAATATGGCGTTCCCCATCGAGGAAAACAAATGAGGAGTAAGGTAAGAATGCAGAAAAGTTTAATATTTAAAAAAAATTAGAAATAAACAGGAGGTTCCTGGTAAGGGTTTCAGGGAGAAGAAGCATTTGAGCTGGGTCCTGGCAGGTGGAGGGCCTCAGGAGGAGAGGAGGGAGGCCGTGCAGCTGTGTCTCATGGGTGTGTCACTGAGCGCACCTGTCCTGGGTCGCAGGCGGGCAGGACACGGGGCCGGAAAGGTCGATCAGAGGAGCCCTTATTACCAAAGGAAGGCTCTTTTCTCTGTGATTTGATGATCTTCAGTGTAAGATACGTACAAATAAAATCCACTAACCTGTTCATAAGAAATGTACTTTCCTCTTCTACAAAATACAGTAATAATCATTGCTCCCATCATGTGTTTGTCGTGCTAACACACTGTATTGTGCACAATCATGCTACATCCATTGTTTGTTTGTTTCTTTGTTTTTGCCCCTTAATTTTTCATGATGCTTTCATTAAATAGGCATTGGTTTTCATGTGAAATCTTTTAATTTAGTTATTTCCATATTTGAAAAATTACATTCAGGTTATTGGGTTACTTTATCTTATAGGTGAAAAATTATATGAAATAAAAATTTTGGAAGAAACACGTAAGAAATGAGTGGCCTGCAGAAAAGATTACAGCAGTGTGATAAAAACCAGGAGCTTCTGGGTAATGATACAGTTCAGCTTAAGAAAGCAACAGAATAAACAGAAGCTGACAACTGAGGTGATAATGGTTCTGGAACATGCTCCTGTAGATGAACACTGTTCACCAAAATAGTCAGCTCAGAGACTTGTGTCACTGAACCAGTGCTCTAAATGCTGTTAATTAAAACAGCTCATTTGGGTTTGGCTTGCTTTATTTGTGCAGCCTGTTTAAGATTAGACTGAGAATCCAGGCCACTGTCCATACCTAGGGGTCCCCTATCCAGCAGATTGAAAGAAATGTGGATGGAAAATATACAGAAAAAAATTGAAAGATTCAAAAAGCAATACTTGAATTGGCCACAGGCTGGCAACTACTTACGTACTATACACAATGCCTCAGATACTGTGAGTAATCAAGAGAGGATTTAAAGTACACGTGTAGGAGCACGTAAAATCCGTGCAAGTCTTCTTAAATTTTATAAAAGACATGTCAGAATCGATGGACGTTGGCATAAGGGGGAAGTCCTGGAACCAGTGGGCTAAGGTTACCAAGGGATGACAAGAAGCTCATGCTACTCATCCTAGCCTGGAACGTACCCCTGTGGTCTGAATGCTGCATGAGCCACAATGCCCTGGTGAATCTCCTCCAGCCCTGCCAGAATGCCCTCTTATTCCGGAACAGACCAAGCTCACGGAACTTCATGTCTGACCTCTAGAAATACATATTACATTCTGAGCATGGCTCTCCTTCAATAAGACAGGAAGCAATGCGACTACAGAAGACACGATGGAGGTTCCTTAAAAAACAAAGCAAGGACTTACCTCATGTTCCAGCCTTCCAACGCTTGGGGATATGTCAGGAGAAAACTCTAATTCAAAAAGTCACATGCACCTCAAAGCACACAGCAGCCCTGTTTGTAATAGCCAGGACGTGGAACCAAGCCAAACGTCCATCGGCTGGTGACTGGATAAAGAAGTAAGTGGTCTACTTATGCCGCGGAATACTACTCAGCCATGAAAAAGGATGAAAGCATGCCATTTGCGGCCACATGGATGGACACAGAGATAGTCATTCTGAGTGAAGTTAGCCAGAAGAGAGAAAAATGCCATATGATACCACTTCCATGCGGAATCGAAAAATAAGACAGAAATGAACTTAACGGCAAAAGAGGAACAGACCCTCAGACACAGAGGAACAAACTTATGGTTACCAGGGAGGGAAGGGGGTGGGAAGGGGTAAATACGGGAATTGGAAAATGGCCCCTCTTGGGGAGTGATGGAAATGGTAGCTATCTTGATGGGGGTGATGGTTTTCTGGGTGTAGACATCTATGAAAATTCATCAAATGCTACATGTGAGATGCGTCTAATTTACGGAACAGAAATCGTACCACAATCAAGGTGTTTTTTAAAAAAAAGAGATGGGCTGCCTTGTGTCCTACGTTTCTATGTGTCTTCAGGGAGGCCTCAAGAGGGCGGTGCTGGCCTTCCTGCCAACACGATGACATGAGGCCCGACCAATCCATCGATGGGAAGAAGATAAGAGGCATGGTCACATCTGGACCCCAAGCTTAGACATGGTGCTTGGGTGACATTTATCGACAATCCGGCGAGGTTCCGGCCAGAGCTAGAGGCCGGGGCAGCAAAGCGGGAG